ACAGTGATACTCTGTCTTTAAGAAATAGAGAGAGAACATCTATGTGACTAAAATACCAAAATTCTTTCTGTTGGTTGCTACGGATCACCTGTGTTTCAGAAAACTGGCCCGTTTTAAAGTTCAGTTTGATTCCGTGGCACCTAACACAAGTGACTCCATTTTGGTCACTGGTCTATTGGGCCTGGTATAGGATCTTAGTCCAAAATAATCGCTTCCAGTGAATTTATTTACATTAGTATAAGGAAGTGAGTCCTAAAGAACAGGGCTTTTTCCTGGCACTAAGCTCTAAGAGGACTTTACCACCACCTGTATCTACATAAGGGACATGAAATCAATGATCCACATCTTTTTCCAATGCCATTTGCTATTTGGCTCTTGGGAAAAGTAAAATTTGGCAATAACCCATAGTGGGACGGGTACACACAGACTCTGAGCCAGAATGCCTGGGTTCGAATCCCAGCTGCACCATCTACTAGCTGCATGACCTGGAGCAAGTTCTTTCAATTCTCTGTAAAAATGGGATAACTAGAGTTCTCCTCTCATAGAGGTGTGGGGAGGGTTAAATGAGTGGGTGTATGTAAAGTGCTTAGAGTAGTACTTGGCTTGAGTTAAAAGCCATACAAGCACTTTTTGTTTTTGTCTTTTGGCCTGTAATCTCATTCCCAAGAATTCATCCAAAGCACAGACAGGAAATCACACTAAAATGTGCAATATAAGGGTGTTCATTGCAGAGTTGTTTAGAATAGCCCAAACATGGGAAAGCAACTAAATGTCCATGAATAGGAGATCAAATAAATGGACTACTAGGCAAACATAACAAAGTATGATGTGGACGTCAACATACTGACTTGGAAGATGCCCATGCCATATTTTTAAGAGGACCATTAAAAGACAACATATGTATCATTACCCCATGAATTTTGTTTTCCTGTAGGTAGATATAGTAACAGAAAAAGACTAAAAGGATGGATACCAAACAGATGAGATTAGCTCTCTCCAAATGGTAGGACTACTAGGTGTTTTAAAAACATTTTAGGGGGGCATGGGCAATATATGTAACCTTAACACTTGTACCCCCATAATACGCTAACATAAAAAAATAATAATAATTCTTAAAAAATAAATAAATAAACAAAATAAAAATATTTGTTTTCTTGTCTGCAATATGTTAGTTCCGGAGCTGAGAGAGAGACACACCAAGCCTCATGTGTAGTAGAATGCTGTTTATTTTGAGCATCTGGGTGCAGATGGGCAGAGGGCAAAAAAAGGAGTCCGGGTGCGGTGGCTCACGCCTGTAATCCTAGCACCCTGGGAGGCTGAGGCGGATGGATCGCTCAAGGTCAGAAGTTCGAATCCAGCCTGAGCAAGTAGAGACCCTGTCTCTACCAAAAATAGAAATTAATTGGCCAACTAAAAATATATAGAAAAAATTAGCCGGGCATGGTGGCACGTGCCTGTAGTCCCAGCTACTCTGGAGGCTGAAGCAGAAGGATTGCTCGAGCCCAGGAGTTTGAGGTTGCTGTGAGCTAGGCTGACGGGGCAACAGAGTGAGACACTGTCTCAAAAAAAAAAAAAAAAAAAAGGAGTCCTTGAGAGAAAAGGGGAGAGCCTTGGGTTTTATAGAGAGTTTTTCTGGGAGGAGTAAATAAATTCTTTTCAAACAACCAGAAGGGATAGGAAAGTAAGTTCCCCTCTTGCATGCCATTCTTTTATCTCCCTAGGGAACAACAGGAGGGATAAACATTTGTTCTTATCAGGAGGGATGAGGAAAATAAGTTCCCCTTCTGCATTTCATTCCCTTATCTCCCAGGGGCCTGGCCCAGGCTACTGCCTAATACACCCTTAGGAAGGGGAGAGGGGGGGGTTTATAGGAGGTTTGGATGGAAATTTGGGGAGGGTGAATTGTTTAAACCTAAGCAGTAACTGCTAACAGGAAGCACAAGGTATACAGAATATCTGTTGCTGTAACTGGCTTTATTCATTGATAAAATGGGCACAATAATACCTGCTCTGCTTACCTACAGGATGGTTGTACAAATCCACTGAGATGGCTAGAAGAAAAATTCTTTATAAATTAGACGAGCACATTTGTTATTTACAGTTGATGCTAGTGTAGAAAGGCTGAGTGTTATGGAGCTCTGGCACTCAGTGTCAATGCAATTTATTGTTGCTGGTACAAAAAAACTAAATGTTGTATCTTTCTTCTCTTGTTCCTTTCAGGTTTTTTTTTTTTTTTTTTTTTTTTTTTGAGACAGAGTCTGCTCTGTTGGCCGAAGCTAGAGTGCCATGGCATCAGCCTAGCTACAGCAACCTCAAAACTCCTGGGCTCAAGCGATCCTCCTGCCTTAGCCTCCCTGAGGAGTAGCTGGGACTACAGGGCATGTGCCACCATGCCAGGCTAATTTTTTCTACATATTTTTAGTTGGCCAATTAATTTCTGTTTTTAGTAGAGACAGGGGGTCTCGCTCTTGCTCAGGCTGTTTCGAACTCCTGACCTTCAGCGTCCACCCACTTCGCGCCTCCCAGGTGGCTAGATATCACAGTGTGAGGCCGCCTTGCCCGGCCTGTTCCTTTCAATTTTGAAGGAGCTTCTACCAGGTTCAGAAAAGGAATCTTATCAGCATTTGAGGAAAAGCCTTTTTTATTGAAACTTCTTGTAGGTTTTAACTCTAGGTTTACACATATGCTTGCAAGGATATCTAGCCAAGGAAATGCTATTTGAAAAAAGAAAAGCTGTTCTTTGACCATCTTCTTAAAGAATCATTAATTTATATCAGAAAACTGGGGAGGGCAGAGTTTCAGGAACGCTTTGCTAAGGAGCATGATGTGACTGAGTAGTTAGCTCCACAGTATCTGATTTGTCCCAGAGATCACTGGGCAGTCGCAAATGGTGGGGGTGGGGACACCTCTTCTCTGTACTTGTGTAGCTCTTCAGCTAAGCAAAGCTTCATATTAAACCTGCATCGTGAGGTGAAGGACAGAGCCCCCAAATTACACGTGTGTGTGACTCCCAGCGTCAGGAAGTAAATATATATTAAATGAAAAAATGATAGAGGATGCATATCAAAGAGGGGAGGAAATGACACATCTTGGCAGATTTTCTCCTCACGGCAGGCTACCTGCTCCTGCAGAACTGAAGGGAGAGGTGGCCAGGCTGGAGGGCTGTCTGTCCCCTCCAAGAGATCAAGTCACAGTGTTGGCCCATGGGTGCCAAGTGACATGCTGCACAGTTTAAGACAGACATGAGCAGTTAGGAGACAGCTCAGAGGACAGCTGTCAGCTGATAAAGACTTTAGAAAAGAAGGTGTAGGAAAAGGGCTGGGGGATGTGATGATTGTTTAAACCTGACAAGAAGAGCCTGAATTAAGTGTGACATATTAGTTGCTATCTGGACATTTGCAGGAGTGATTACACAGAGCAGATGTTCTCAAGTTTGTGTGTGTGTGTGTGTGTGTGTGTGTGTGTGTGTGCACTCAAGCCAAGGCATTGTCAGGAAAAGGTCACATTCGCATGGCTCATGGGATAATCAGGTGAGGCTGCTCAAGACTATGTTCTGCCCTAAGGCTGTGACACTCCTAGGTCCTACCCTGCCACCAGGGACTGAGGGAGTCAATAGCTTATCACACTGTGACCTGGGCCTGGTTCTGGGGAGTCACACAGTCACACACCTGTTGTGAAACTGATGTAGAGGGCTGGGACTATCTGTATTTTAGGAAGGATTCGAAAAATTGTGGCCAATATAATGAATATAAGATTGAAATAAAAGAGGAAATGATCGATTCCTGGATTTGAATATACTGGACTGATTTGTCAAATGGTGTGTGTGTGTGTGTGTGTGTGTGTGTGTGTGTAGAGCATGTCCCAAAAGTCTTTGCACAGTTCAAGCTTCATAACTTCAGAAAAATAAGTGCTATAAATTTACCCCCAACGCACTTGATGTTTTAATCATATATGTTTATTTTACACTTATTTTAGTTTTGTAGATGTTGTGTGATGAATTATTAGTTTTAATTGAGTCAGTCCTCTGATTGAAAACAGTGAAGGCTGACTTTAAACAAAATGTTTGCTAGTCAACAGTCAACATTCATAAAACTAAATTAAGTGTAAAAGAATGTTAGGTTTTCTGTCTGGGTTAGGGTAAGGCAAACATCCATTCTGTAGATACTCTGGATTTACACACATGAGTGGTCGTGAGAGTACGAATGTCCGGGTACAAGTGGATCCCAGGTTGTATTGCAGACTTTCAAGGTACAAGTCAAGGGCTCTGCCAAGTAAAGGGGGACACAGCTCATATCTAGACTCGAGATGAAATGGACAGAACATGTCACTGAGGCAAACATGTGCTAGGAGGAAAGGGTGGAGTTGGAGAATGGGATGGCAGGGGAGGGCAGAGGGACCCAGAGGGCCAGGAGGACACGAGGGATCTCCTGGGCTGGCGGGTGGGGGAGGGGCTGTGCCCACACCCTCCTCTCCTTGTCACCTCTGACCCCTTTGTGACTCTTCTGTTCTAGGTGATGCGGGCCTGAGGCTATAGGCCAGCCCGGGCCCCCTCAGCACTCAGTTGCTTCAGGCAGCCCGACTGTTCCCATGATGGAGAGCACTCTTGATTTTATAAATGACTCTGAGCCACAAGGCTCATCCTTAGAGAAGACAGTCCTAACCCTCACCTTCCTGAGGGCTCTGGGCTTACTATGGATAAGTATTTGCTATGTTTTTATAAAACAACTTCTTAAACCCACCTGGAAATATAAAACATTCCAGAAGGTAAGGGACACCCCAGAGAGATCCTTTGCTGTTGGCTCCCATTCCTACCCCACATTCTACCAGAGTCTGGGTGGCTTGGAGAGTGACAGGACGGCACTCTTCCAGGGGAAGAGGTGGGCAGGGCTAGGGGCTCAGGAGGAGGAAGGTTTCCACCTCAGGCTCACAGGCTCCCTGCCAGGCTGTGGTGGAGGACCGAGCGCAAACCCCCAAACACAGTGACCTCGTGCTGCTGGATTGGCCTGTGCTCACAGTGCGGGTTCTCAGGAGGACAGTCTCCCCTGACACTGGATCCTCACTCTCCATGTCAGGTGTCACTTGACCAAGCCTTCCCTCTGCTTGGGCTGAGCAGGAGACACTGTCCAGAGCGTCCACACTCTGTCCCCAGGATACAGGGTCCTGAAGGCGCAGAAGTGACAGTTGCCTTCTGCTCTAGTGTGTCCTCCTTGAGCACAGCACTTGGGAGAACACCAAGTGGGGATTTCACAGACAAATCCTCCTCTGAGTTTCTCAAAGAAGGAAACATTGAAATTCATTCATCACTTTACAAATGGGTAAAAGGAACACATTTCTATCCATGAAAACCAAGAGTCACGTTATCCTTAAAGAATGAGCAGCTTCTTACAGAAGAAGAGGCAGAGAGGCGAGTCCCAGCCCCTCATTATTTTCCTTTTGTTCCCAGCGCCAGGGCAGAGTGAAGAGGAGGAGGAATGGCGCGACCCTGAGAGGTAAGGTTCTGTCTTGTCCCCAGCTCTCCAGGGGAGCCTCCTGTTCCTCCCATGGGGCCCCAGGTCCATGATCTCAAGGCTGTCAGGTGCTGGGCACAGTGTCTGGGAAAGCAGAGCTCAGGGGAGGCTCACAGGAGGGCAGTGGGACCTGAGACACTTCTCGGAGTTCCGCTCTGCCCACCTGTGGGCATGACGCAGGGATGGGCCTGGGCCATGGGTCTCCCCAGTAGGCGGCCATGGGAGACATCCAGGAAGGACTCCCGGTGGGGCTGGAGTCAGCACTTCTGTCCCCTGACTCTGCATAAGAGCCCTGACTCCCTGGGTGCTCGGGTTGCTCTGAGGGAACCACTGACTTCTGGGCTTTACCTGGTGCTTTTGAGCTTCACGTGGGACAATGGGAGGGACAGGACTTTCTAGATGAATCCACACACACACTTGACCCACGCTAATATTACTGTTGAGCATTTGACCATGTCTGCTGATGTTGGGGCTGCCAGAGCTTAACAGGCCCAGGGTCTCCAATAAAGGGAGCCCCGTGTGATCCTCTGCTTCTACCTTCCTCACATATCACCTTCTCTCCTGGTTCTCACTCGGAGAATGACCCCGAGAGATGCCGTGGAGGGAAGGAGGCTGCTTTCTTCCATGGAAAGGTGATGGATCTTTCCCCTTGTCTCCGGGGCCCTGTTGAAAGCATGTTCTGTGCATCTCAGGGATTCAGAGCCCCCTGCCAAGGCCATGGGGGGTCGCCATGGGAACAGAAATGTGAGGGAAGGGCTTGGGGGAGGCTAGCAAGTGGATTGTGATGTCACGGGAGGGGGCAGCAGGCTGCAGGGGGCCCCACCCCACTACACGTGCAGGTTCCCCTTCCCTTGTCACGGTCCTGGCTGCAGCTTTGTACCTCCTGTCTTCTGCAGACCCCTGGGACAGCGCGATGTGGATATCATATTCCACCTACATCACCCGGCACACCCACACCCCCTCTGTGAGCTGTGCCGCAAAACAACCTGAAAAGCCAAACCATCCCTGCCCAGGGAATCCCTCCATGCTGCTGCTCCCTCTGCGGCCCCTTTCGCCTCCAGCACAGCCTCGCTGTCCGCAAGCCTTCCAGGACTCCTGCCTCCAGCCCCTCCGCCCCACCCTTCTGCACCCCAGCCTCTTGCTGTTCCCCGTCCCCCAGGTCACACTCCACGAGCACGGCCGCTTCTCAAACCAGAGGCCACTGTCTCGTGGAAGAACATCCTGTTTTTCGGCCTCCGCCTTTCCCGAGACATCGATCCCTTTCCCCTTTCATCCCCGGCCACGCATCTCACACACGCCCGTGCGCGTCACCACGCACCGCCAGCCCCGTCTGCTCCACCACCTCCAGACGGCACTTTAGCCGTGACTCCACCTAAACCGGCTCCCGCCCTTCAGAACCTTGGTCTGGAGATGTTCTCTCCTGGTAGCGCTCGAGAACCGTCCCCTCTTTTCCCTCCAAAGAGAGGCACTGACCCTCCAAAGCTGACAGTGTCAGCTTTCTTCTGGTGGCAGCCTCATGCCCAGGACTTGTTCCCCTCCAAATGGGCACCCTGTGATTTTAAGAAACAGCTTCTCGCCCTCCACTATTCTGAAGCCTCATTTGCGGGAGACCCTGCAGCCAGCCTCGGAGTGTCTGCTTCCCTCTCCCTGCCCAACTCTGCCCTGCTGGCTCTCTGGGAGAGACTAGTTAGGAAGAGGGGGCAGTTCCTAATGTGGAAGGGAAAGGAAGACAAAGTGGGGTCTATCCTAAAACAGCTCAGGCCAGGCGACCACCTCACTGCTTCAGGGACCACGTGGGCAGCAGCTGCCAGTCAGCAGGGCGCCGCAGGTTCCCTCCCTCGCTGCAGAAGTGAAGGGAAAGCAGCGGAGCTGCACCTGCGCCCGCAGCCCCTGCGCCCTGACACCTGGGAGGACGACCTGCAGCAAAAACAGCTGGAGCTCCTGCTGTCTCTGCGTGGCGAGTCCCTGCACTCTGTGGTCCTTGTCCGAGGCAGCTGTCTCCCTACATTTGTTTTCCTTACCACAATCGCAAGTTCCTTCAAAGCTGAAGGATTCCTGGCAATTGACCGCCTCCAACTGCTGTGCTTGCCCCAAACCCTGCCCCAGTCTCAGTCCCTAACCCTCACTCAGGTCTGGCCTCTGGCCCCATTTCAACCCCCACTCCCCATCCCACCACCTGGGCCTCTATGCCCGATTCGGATCTGTGGGGTGAGTTTGCACAAAGCCCAGAATGCGGTGCGGTGTCTTGTGTCATCGGACATTCCCCGCCTGCACTGGAACATGCCCCGGAAAGATCAGGAGACGGTGTGGGGTTTATGCTCCACGATCCGGAAATTTCTAGAAGACTTTTGTCCTTCAGTTCCCAGCATCACATGCCTCAGCCAGTCCTCCAAGGTCTCCGTTCCAATCTCTGTCCTTCCTGGAGACTTTTCTCCCAGCACAAAGCTTCAGAAGAAAACCGGACTCCACCGTCAACCGAGGCTCATCCCACCCGGGTGCGGCTCGTGCAACACCTGCCACACCCGTGGGTGTCGGTCACTACTAAGTCCTCGGAGAGAAACTCCTGACAGGTCTGTGTCCATATGCCATGGGACTCTCTCCTGGGTTTCATTCATTCGAGGTCATGGGAGAAAAGACATAGAATATTTTGTATTCAGCCCATCTGGAAGCTTCCAAGAGACAAGCTCAAAAATCCCACTAAAAAAGAACTCGAGGAAGGATCAGGAATGAAGGCAGAAGAACGGCCCAAAAGATCATCATTTGTCGGGAACAACAAATTCAGCATGTGGGATGTCTATGTCCCCAAGATTCTTCTTTTCCTGGAGAAAAAGTCAGAACAACACAATCATCTCCCAGCCTGCATCATCCCCTCCCTGCCTCTTCCCCTGCGGGAAAAGGGGCACAGGGAGACCCAAGACCGTCCCCCTCTGGCGCCAACCGTGACCTTCCAGAGAAGGTCTGGACAGCTGAGGAAGGCAGGCAGACTGGCCTGCAGCCCCCTCAGGGCAGCACAGAGGAGACGTTAGAGGAGTCCCCTGGGGGCGCTTGAGAAAGCGAATGCTCCGACTGTGGCAGTGGCTTCCTAAGCCCAGAAGAAAGCGCAAGGGGCAAAAGAATTGCCTGTGGGAGGGCAGCTCCCTGTCGTCTCAGGAGACTTCCTCAACTGCCCTCCTCGGGCGGCCTCAGCACCCTCCCAGCTCCCCCTCCAGGGCTCAGGGAGTCCACGGTCCTCCGGCCACCCCTTCCCGTCCTCAGAACACACAAAGGTTTAGACTTTTCCCCTGCATTTGCTGAGGGGGAAGTCACTCCCCCAAAACTTCAACATGGTTCTCTGAATAAATGCTCTGCAAGAGTGATGTCTGTTGCGTGTGCTGTGTTGGGGGCACAAGTTTGGAGTCACCTAGAGCACGTGCTTCGTAGGGACAGGCTGGAGTTAGTTCACCACTTCCTCATGGCCTCTTTTGGCTTCCAAAATGTGACCAGTGCCCTGGAGCTCTTGTGGAGGAATGGCTACCATGTGGCCCCACACCCGTTCCCACCTGATGATGTTGGAGTAGATGGGCTCTGTGTCCTTCCTCGTAGCTTTGCCTGGTGACATTACGCTGCAGCCCACGCCTTCCCCCTCATGTGGTTCACAGCCTTTAGGGCAGTAAAGACGACGGGTCTTCCATAGCTGAAGACCAGGTCAAAGACAGGTAAATGTTTAAGAACATAGTGGCCGAATCATTTCTAAGAGACAGCCGTCCGTGACCAGAGGATGACACGTGTGGGTGCAGGGTGGGGGGCGTCACTGCTGCAGTGGGGGCTGGCCTGGGTGGGGGAGGGCTGAGGAACAGGACAGACGCTGCCCAAGAACCTGTCCCTCGGGGCTGGCTCGGGTGTTGGGGAAGCACACGTGGACCCTGATGCTGTGGTGTCCTTCCTGCAAGTCCCCGTGGGAAGTGGTCCCTCCCCTGCACGTTTCTTCAGGTTGCCGGGATTGATGACATATGCAGAGCAAAAGGATCACCCACTTTTCAGTGGCAGCAATGTCGCCAGCCAGACACTGACCTCCCAGGGTAAAACAAAGCTGACATAAGGAAAGCATGCCTCACATAAGTGGAAAAGTGAGGAGACAAAAATGGATATGGGAAAGAATGTCCTTGCTGGGGGGTAAAGGTGTGTCTGCCCTTGTCGTGCCCCTGTCCTGCTCCCCATTCCCAGTCTGATCCAGGCACCACTTCCGTGAGGCTCATCAGGGCGCTGCTCAGCTCACTGATGCCGTTTGGCAGAAGCGTACACGGGGCTGTTCTCTGGGCACCAAAGCAACATCTGCAAGGCTGTTGTTGGGCTCAGCAGCCGCCCCCTTAGGTAAGGTGACCTCAGTGCCCTCCTTCCATCTATGCTTGGTGACGGCGTGCAAGGTCTGCCCTTAGTGTGCACAGTTCACCCATCAGGATGGAGGGGCCACGTGTGATCTTCATGGGCCTGGGGGAGCCACAGTAGCTATCCCCCAGAACACCTGCCCCTCATGCTCCACAGGTGAGCCCCGCACTGTGCACAGGGTTACGGATATTTGGGGGCTCCCCATGGACCTTTGCAGAATGCTCCTTTTGGCCACGACTGGCCATAGAGGTCTATAGAAAAGGCAACTCCACTGGTACAGACAGGGCCTGGACTCAACAATGGGATGAGTTTCCTGCAGGACACTTGAGATAGCTTTTCCAGAAAAACAATTTGTGAATGCTGGCTGTCAAAACACAAACAAACAACAGATGTGCACTGCAGCCTCAACTCTGCCTCTACATCTCCGAGCTATGCCATTGACCCTCAGTGTGTGAAGCTCAGGGTTGCTGGAGGAATGCAGAGTCTCGGGAGGCCCTGGGAAGGACGAAAGGCAGGATGGGGCCGGGGGGAGGAACTGTGGAGGTGGAGAATCAGTGGAGGACCCGACATCCACGCGGAGAGGTCAGCCAGTAACCCGGCCTCTCACTTCCTCCACCTCCCACCTTTGTGTCCTCTACCTGCATTCCAGCTCAGCTACTGCCACTCCTGACACTGATCATCAGGAGCCCGGCTCACACGGGTGACAGCACAGCTCCACCTCCACCTTCACCTCATCCCTCTCTCTCCCAGCGGGGCCCTCAGTTTCTCATTGTTGCACTTCCTGAAATGTCTCCCCTGGAGAAAGATCAAGTACAGTCCTGAGGGACAGGCCCACCGCTGCCAGCTGTCCTTACTGTCCCGCACCTCCTCAGGAGGCACTCCACACCTTTTATTTTTAAAAGCTTTTGAATAGAAACCTGTTTAAACACACACAAGAGCAGAGAGAACAACGTAACCACCACCCCCACCCCACCCCTGCCACCATTCAGCCTTCACAACTACCAGGCACGATGAACCCATCTTTTACACAAGGATGTAAGCGTAAAAGTCCATCAAACATCTTCCAACTATCCCTCCGAAGACCTGCTACGTGCCCTGTGTCAATGCTCCCACGTTCCTTTGGTACTTGCCACACTCACCCACAGCACAGGGACGCAGCCTCGGTGACCGAAACACACTGAGTTACTGGCTTTGGCGTGGGCTCTGCTGGAATGTCAGCACACTTCAAACATGCAGGGAGGATCCCGGGCGAGGCTCCTCTCTTACCCTCCCGCGAAGGATGTCAGAGCCCGGGAGCTCCCCCTGCCCTCGGTTCTAGGTTCCAAGCAGGGTGGGTCTTGGTCCCCGGAGGCAAAGGACACATTGCATTCCAGAGGACATCCCCAGCGTCCCTGACATTGACGGTCTGGACTGCCAGGGAGCTGGAGGGATAGAGATCAGGAGGAGAAGGTAGAGAGGAGCAGGAAGAAGGGGAGGAAGAGGAAAGTGGAGAGAGGGGGGAGGAGAAGGAGAAGAGCAGGAAGAGTATAGCCTGCAACCAGGAACCTGCCACCCTCTCTGGGGAGCCACAGGGTTGTCCCAAGGGCTCCCGCTTCCTTCTGGATCTGGTCACCTACTTCCTGTACCCCGAGAGGCTGAGGCAGAGAAGCACCGCTCCTGCCAGCCCTTGCACGTCAAAGATGATCGTGGGGCTGAAATGAAATCATACTTGTTAAATGACTAACAGCATGCCTGGGCAGAGGAGGTGCCAGATAAATGGGGACTGTGATGTTGTTGTGCTTTCTTTTTAATTTTTTTTTTTAAATTGTAATTATTAAGGGAACATAATTGTTATATATCTTTATAGGGTACATGTGATGTTTTGATACAGGCATGCAATGTGAATTAATCAAATCAGGGTAATTGGGGTATCCATCACCTCAGGCATTTATCATTTCTTTTTTTTTTTTTTTTTTTTTTTGTTTTTTTTAGAGACGGGGTCTCGCTATGTTGCCCAGGCTGGAGTGCAGTGGCTATTCACAGGCGCGATCCCACTACTGATCAGCACGGGAGTTTTGACCTGCTCCGTTTCCGACCTGGGCCGGTTCACCCCTCCTTAGGCAACCTGGTGGTCCCCCGCTCCCGGGAGGTCACCACATTTATCATTTCTTTGTGTTAGGAACATTCAGATTCCACTCTTAGCTATTTTAAATTATACCCTAACTTGCTGCTCGTTATAGTCACCCTGTTGTGCTATCAAATATTGTTGATTCTAACTATTTAACTATATTTTCACACCCACTAACCATCCCGACTTTAGGGGACTGTTGTTATCAGTAAATATTCTGGCAGCAACGAGTGGAGAGCTGTGTGTGGATGTAGCAGTTGCCTGCTAAACTTTTCCCAAAAAGACAATGAGGTCTTAGAGCAAGTCTCTTAGAAGTTGTATGATTCAAGCAAGTCGCCTCTTCTCTCCAAGCCTCAGTTGTAAAATGTAGATGATTCCTATTGCAAAGCGAACAAATGTGACAGAAGAACTTATAAACTATAAAATGCCATAATACATTATGGTTACAATTAAACGTGGCAGGCACCACACAAAAGTACATGCCATAAAAACATAACACAAATAGCTATATCCAACTATATGAGCACAGAAGAAGAAACCATTCAGTCTTTTCTCTCCCAACTTTGTTGATGTATAAGTGACAAAAATAGGGAAGCCAAAGGGGCCCATTCAGTCTTTCTTTTTTGAGACAGAGTCTCACTCTGTTGCCCGGGCTAGAGTGCTGTGGCGTCAGCCTAGCTCACAGCAACCTCAAACTCCTGGGCTCAAGTGATCCTAATGCCTCAGCCTCCCAGGTAGCTGGGACTACAGGTGCATGCCACCACACCCAGCTAATTTTTCTATTTTTGGTAGAGACAGGGGTCTCGCTCTTGCTCAGGCTGGTCTCGAACTCCTGAGCTCAAACAATCCACCCACCTCGGCATCCCAGAGTGCTAGGATTACAGGTGTGAGCCACCGCGCCCGGCCTTTTTTGGTTTTTTAAAATTTCTTTTTTGAGACAGTCTCCGCTCTGTCACCCAGGCTGGAGTGCAGTGCTGCCATTACAGCTCACTGCAACCTCAAACTCCTGGGCTCTAGTGATCCTCCTGCCTCAGCCTCCCAAGCGCACACCATGATGCCCGGTTAATTTTTCTATTTTTAGTAGAGACGGGGTCTCACTGTTGCTCAGGCTGGCCTGGAACTCCTGAACTAAACCAATCCTCCCGCCTCAGCCTCCCAGAGTGGTAGGATTACAGGCGTGAGCCACCTTACCCGCCAAGACTAATAGATTATTTTCAAGGGCAGTTTTAGGTACGAAAATTTCCCATATGCCCCCTCATCGCCCCTCAGTTTCCCCAATTATTAACATTTTGTCTAGCGTGGTACGATTGTTACAGTCAATGAGTCAATACTGACACGCAGTTATTAACTGAAGTCTATGGTTTCCATCAGGGTTCGCTCTTGGTGTTGCACGTTCTGTGGGTTTGGACAAGTGTGGACAGCATGTATCTACACCAGGGTGTCTGTCACACAGAACAGCGTGTGGACAGCACGTATCTACCTACACCAGGGTGTCTGTCACACAGAACAGTTCGCAGCCCTCAAAACCCCTGCGCTCCGCCTACCCGCTCCTTCCCTCCCTCCTCCAAAGCGTCCTTTTGTAGCTTCCTCTTGGAAGTGATAGCCATCACTTTTGCCATATTTTATTCATCAGAGTCAATCGTTTCAACCCACGCTCGAGAGAAGGGCATGAATACTGGGAGGCAGAGACCCCCGGGGACGCCCGCCGCGCCAGCCCACACACAGGCGGTTCCATGCCTGACCTCGTCTTCCTGCGTCCGCGGTGGATGTTCACGAAGCTCACCCAGGGTGCCTTGTTTCCGGGGCTCAAACCGTACATACCCACGTGTGTATGACGCACCTTGGTACCAGGAGACCCAAAGGCTGGGAGTCTCTTATAGTGAGTGGACCACGGGGGCACATCTTGGCTAAGTGACTTAGACTTAAAGGTTGCAACCTACACGCTGGATGCCACCCAAACCAGGTGTGAATCATAAACCTGATTAGTATTAAACAGTGTTGACTGCTCCCAGACAACTCATGGACCCATGATTACAAATCACTGTTTTTAGGCCAGGCGAGGTGGCGCACGCCTGTAATCCTAGCACTCTGGGAGGCCGAGGCGAGAGGATTGCTCGAGATCGGGAGTTCAAAACCAGCCTAACCAAGAGTGAGACCCCCATCTCTACTAAAAATAGAAAGAAATTAATCAGCTAACTAAAAATAAATAGAAAAAATTAGCCAGGCATGGTGGCACATGCCTGTCTGTAGTCCCAGCTATTCGGGAGGCTGAGGCAGGAGGATCGCTCGAGCCCAGGAGTCTGAGGTTGCTGTGAGCTAGGCTGATGCCATGACACTCTAGCCTGGGTAACAGAGTTGAGACTGTCTCAAAACAAAACAAAACAAAACAAGACAAAAAGCAAATCACTGTTTATCTTTAGTTAATAGACTCAACAGCATTGGCCAAAGGTCGGTGGTCCTGGACATAAGCAGGTAGTCAGTCCAGATCAATCGAGAGCAACTCCTGCTCTGCAAGCCGCCCCCATGATCCTTGGTCAGAGCTGTTTATAAAGGAATTATTCTTCGTTTGGAGGGCAATGGACAAGTCTCTGTCTACTTGGCACCTCTTAAGGGGATCACTCTGTATCCTACATAGATTCTGCATAGATTCTATAACACTCAGTAAATGCGTTGTGTAGGGTTGCTGCTGTCCCCGCCCCTCACCTCCGTGCCACGTTCTAGTCCTGTGCAGCCATCAGATGCTGCATTTCCTTGGCCACTGCGATCAGTCCTGACGAGCATATGACCCCTGGCAGGCCAGAGACCTTGGGATTAATATGGACACTGGATAGGGACACAGGAGTAACTCTCTCTCTCTTCTTCACAAAACCAGACTCAGGGGGCTGGGGTGGGACGATCACTTGAGGCCAGGAGCTCAAGATCAGCCTGGGTAACTTAGTAAGGCCCCAAGGCCCCATTTCTCTCTCTCTCTTTTTTTTTTTGAGACAGAATCTCGCTCTGTTGCCCAGGCTAGAGTGCCATGGCATCAGCCTAGCTCACAGCAACCTCAAACTCCTGGGCTCAAGCAATCCTGCTGCCTCAGCCTCCCGAGTAGCTGGGACTACAGGCATGCACCACCATGCCCCGCTAATTTTTTCTATATATTTTTAGTTAGCCAATTAATTTCTTTCTACTTATAGTGGAGACAGGGTCTCACTCTTGCTCAGGCTGGTTTCGAACTCCTGACCTTGAGCAATCAGCCCGCCTCAGCCTCCCAGAGTGCTAGGATTACAGGCATGAGCCAAGGCCCCCATCTTTTAAAAAAACCTTTAAAAATTAGCTGGGCATGGTGGCACATGCCTATAGTCCCAGCTACTTGGGAGGCTGAGAAGAGAGGATCACTTGAGCCCAGGAGTTTGAGGCTGCAGTGATCGCGCCGTTGCACTCCAGCCTGGGTGACAGAGCTGGAGTTCATTTCTTAAAAAAAGAAACAAAAACCAAAACTATAAGGATGTCTGTGGCCATCTTTTCATACTGTGACAAGAATTTGCCTGAATATGAAGCTAATGCAGAGGAGGTGGTGGTGAAATATGGAGAAAGAGAGATACATTTCGATGACACAGTATGAGCTCCTGGATCCAGCCATACCTAAAGCCACAACCAACCCTAGACTGTTGGCTTTATAAGTCAACCACTCCTCTATGTCTTTAAGCCAGTTTTCATTGCGTTTTCTGTTTCTTGCCATAAAGGATTCTTCACGGATACAGCCTGGGTGTGAGAAAGATACTTAAAACTTCTAACCCAAGGTGGTTTGAGATGGAACCCCTTCTGTCTCATGGGAGTATTCATCCCCACCTGCTTTCTGTATTTATATCTTAAGCACTGACTCCCACTTGATTCAAGGCTACAACTGGGCCCTTTCCTAACTGGCCCAACGTCCCCTCCCGGAATACTGGTCTTTTGGGCTCTTGCTTCATTCCTCCTACTTCCTCTCTTGCTCCAGACCCCTGTCCCTGTAATTTGTTTTGTGGTTTGTTTGAATTTTATCTATTGGTCAACCACTGAAGCCACATTTCTTTGGGGGAAGCTCACCCTTCAATAAGGTGCAGTCTATGCCCCCACCCAAGACAGTGTCTCCATGAAATTCTTGTAGTAGATTGAGTGTTCTAGGTGCCAGGTGCTCTGCTAAATGCTTCATGTAATTATTGCATCTGGGTCTCACAACACTAAAGCAGGTATTTTCATTCCTATTTTCAGATGAGGCAACTAAGGCTCAGAGAGGTTAAGCAATTTGCCTGAGGCCACACAGCATGTGGTGGGAAAGAAATTAATCCGGCTCTGATGTCGAAGCTCATAATCTTTTTTTTTTTTTTTTTTTTGAGACAGAGTCTCACTTTGTTACCCAGGCTAGAGTGAGTGCCGTGGCATTAGCCTAGCTCACAGCAACCTCAAACTCCTAGGCTCAAGAGATCCTCCTGCCTCAGCCTCCCAAGTAGCTGGGACTACAGGCATGCGCCACCATGCCCGGCTAATTTTTTTCTATATGTATATTAGTTGGCCAATTAATTTCTTTCTATTTTATAGTAGAGACGGGGTCTCGCTCTTGCTCAGGCTGGTTTTGAACTCCTGACCTCGAGCAATCCGCCCGCCTCGGCCTCCTAGAGCGCTAGGATTATAGGCGTGAGCCACCGCGCCCGGCAAAGCTCATAATCTTAACCACTATCCCAGAAGGACACTTCATGGCAGCAAGATGACCACAGACCAACTCCTCTGCCCCTCACCACCCATGGAAGACGTTGCTAAGTGACCAAGGCACTCTGGGTACGGTGTGCCCTCAGACTGCCCCACACCACACCCCAGCCATCGTGGTTGATCCAGAGGGCACATGAGATGCCAGCCCGGCTGCCCTCTGCTGTCTTCACCTTGGGGCATCAGCCAGGTCCTGTGACTGAGCACTCCTATACTTCCTGTCTCCTCCTCTTGAAGGTTAAGTGAAAGATGCCCACTTTCACTTAGCTTTCGACTTTCCAATAAGCATTCTGTGATGCCTGTATTGGCAAAGGCAGGGGCCTCATCTTAGACTTCCACTCTGCCCCTCTCAGCCCCCACACTGGCGGTGGAGGCTACCCCAGAGACCACCCTTGCCCTTTGGACCTGTCAGTCTGCATCATTGTGCCTGAGGGTGAATTTCCCCTACCACTGAGCTAGGCTTCTCGGCCCACACAGGGCAGCAGCTAGAAATGCCTGGAAACTAACACACACCCAGGACTAGTGTCAGCCAGTGCCTCTGGGGAGTGTAAACGCCCCAGCTCCCTCACTCTCAGGTGGGATAATCCTAGCAGTGGCTTTCCCAGTGCTTCTCATCCGGATTAGGCTCCAGGTGCCCAGTATGAAAGCTGGCTTAATAGTGTTCCCCGGACTGGCTGTCTTCCCTCCCTTCTAGCACCCCTACTGATCTGTCACTCATCTCCCTAACAATCTATCTGTGTTGGGGTCCTTGACCCAGGGGCTGCTTCTGGGAGAATGCAAATGCAGATAACACACAGCCCTCACTCAGTACATATCTGAGGGGGGGAGACTATAAACTCAGGTAAGCGGTGCACTACGGCATATTTTAATGGGGTGTTCGGAGAGAACCATATTTATAAAAGAAGCAATATTCCTTTTGGGACTTCCCATAATAACTGCCTAGGGATGAAATCCTGGAACTCACTTATTTTTGAGGCCACATAAGGGAAGGTATTTAATTTAAAAAATAACAGTCTCCAGGATATTCGGGGCTTCTTCCTTGGGTCTATGGAAGCACGTACTGTGCGAGTTTTACCCATGAGTTTGAGACTTAGAATCTATACAATCTACATACTTTGTTTACTTTTTAGGGGCAGATTATATGACATCCAGCTGTGCTGAGAAATGGAAGAACAGTGAGACTGCAGCTTATTTAAGAAAAGGGAAATCCTTAAAAGAACTTTTCTCCCTAAATTGCTTGTGTTCATAAAGATGCCCAGGCAAATAAGGGCATCTCGGTGAAGGGAGGGGTCGGCCTCATCCCATCCACACACCAAACACCTGCTTCCTTCAGACACAGTCTGATTTCCTTTTATTATTATTCTTTTTTAACACATAAAATTGCGGTAAGGAGAGATTATAATAAGGCCATCAGCATTGTGGGTGGGTATTTACTCCGGTGGAGTAGTAACTAAGTCAGAGTGTAGGAGCTTTGGGTTAAGGTTTCCTTCAAAGTAGTGATCAGGGCGGTTGGCTTTCAGTGCAGGCTGCCTGCCGTTGGAGCTGCTGCCTTTGTCTGGGAGGTAGGGTAAGTTCTCAGGGGTCTCCTCGTCACAGGGATCCGAGTTGAAGCCCTTGAGGGCCAAAATCCGGTACCGCTTTCTCCGGTTCACTTTATATATGCGAATCCTCTCTTTCTCTGCCTCCGGGTCAGCGAGAACTCCATCCCAGCGCAGGGTTTCATTGATCTTGTTCGAAAGATTCTCTGCTATTTCAGCAAAGTGGCGAAGATTGATGGTGGAGGAGTAAGGAAGGACGTGCTTGTTTTCCTGTTTGTCCTGTCTGTGCTCCGGCCGTGAGCCGTGGTCTTTGCTGGGATTTAAGATGTCATGAGAGGATGAGGAAAACTGTTGGCTTTTCAGGCTCCGACTCTGATGTTTATCTGCTGAGTAGATGAGTAGGTTAGTGTTTGTGGTGACGTCTGCCCTCGGCCTGCCTGGGACAGTGCCAAAATCGCCAAAGACATAAGGGGGTGGAGGCCCTTCCTTACCCAGGGCTCAGGTCGCCAGGCCCACCAGCCCCGTGCACACCCCTTGCCTGTAGGCTGTGCTCAAGGCATTTGGGGGCAGGAGGAACCATTTATTGAGCACACACTATGAGCCAGTTCCTCTGGATAAAATAAACCGGCCCTATTCTCCAGGTGAGAAAAGCAGGGCTCCAAGAGCAGCAGTAACTTGCCAGTGTCATGGAGCGAGTGGCAGCGCCAGGATCTGAATGCAAGCCTGGCTTCTGGTGGCCTGTTCTTTTTCCGCTGTGCCATGCTGCCCCCAGCTTAACCTCGCCACATGCTCACCAAGGTATTTTAAAGTTCTAGGCCGGGCGCAGTGGCTCACGCCTGTAATCCTAGCACTCTGGGAGGCCGAGGCGGGCAGACTGCTCGAGGTCAGGAGTTCGAAACCAGCCTGAGCAAGACCCCATCTCTACTATAAATAGAAAGAAATTAATTGGCCAACTAAAAATATATAGAAAAAATTAGCCGGGCATGGTGGCGCACGCCTGTAATCCCAGCTACTCGGGAGGCTGAGGCAGGAGGATTGCTTGAGCCCAGGAGTTTGAGGTTGCTGTGAGCGAGGCTGACGCCATGGCACTCACTCTAGCCTGGGCAACAAAGTGAGACTGTGTCCAAAAAAAAAATAAAATAAATAAAAAAATAAAGTTCTAGGAGGCTATGACTCTGTCACTAGTCTAGACGCTTTATGATGGAAGAAATGGAGAACAACAGAAAAACTCCCTAAATTTGACTGACGAAGGCAATATGCCAAACCAGGAAATAGTTCAGCCGTGTGCTTGTACTGATTTTTTTTAAATTTGTAGCATTTCAGAATTATGTAACATGCATGTAAAATACTACAAATTGTGGTTCTTTCATCAGCTCATCCTTTTATTTTGAGAGGAGAGAGAAATACCTCTCCCCCCAAGAAAAAAAGAAAAGAAAATAAGAAAAAAAATCCTCTTGACATTTTCTTACCTTCCTACTCCCCGAAAACTATTTGGTGTCCCCTGCTGACAGTATGAGGTACCTGCCACTGTAATTTTTACAGTCAAAAAGACAATAAACTTAATTTCATTTTGCAGACACACATAGGGCTTTTTGCCCTGAACTCCAAATTTTTCTTGCCTTTTTATTAATTCTACCTGAAGGATTATGGCTTCCCCACACTACGAGGCTGACACGGGGAAGGCTGACACTCCTGCCTCCAGCTTGCCAGTGGTGCCAGCTCTGCCACAAAGAACCAGGGACCAGAAAGTTGAGCCCAGTCCTAGCCTCACGGGAGGTCAAGGCCGCCTCCCTGGTAGGCAAAGCCACTGAGATGGACCACACAGGTGACAATGGACTCACAGCACTCATGGGCAGGTGCATTCTATGTCACTGTTGAATTCTCTCTCTTCTAAGTAGGCGCTCAGTGGCTTTGTTGAGAAGTCTGGGGGGTTCTATGAGAAGACGGTGGTGAGATGTAGGGACTCTGGGTTTGTGGCAGGTGTTTGGTGTGTGTATGTATGTGAAGGTGTCCACGAGAGAGCCTGGAGCACCTACATGCACATGACTGTCTGTGTACAGAACTGTCTGGGAGGTGTTCATGCATGTGGACACCTGTATAGTATCTGTACGTGTGTGCAGACTGTGAATGTGTGAGCGGACAAGGTGCTTTAGTTTCATTTGATGGTGTTAACGCTGCGATGGGGGGGGTGTAGTGGAGGGTGTCAGGGGTTATAGGAGGATGCTGCGGTGTCTGGCGTGACGGTGTTGGTACACGGAAAGCGGGGGTAGGTCTGTGCAAGGACACTTTGTATGCGTTTACACGGGTATGGGCGTCTCCACCGCATTGGGCGGCAGGCGCCCCTTAGCGCCCAGGGGGCGAGCAGGACCTCTGTTTCCGTGTGTCTGGGAGCGAGGGTCTGTCATGCAGTGTCTTGGTGTCTTCGGCTTGGGGAAAGTCTCTGTGTGAGGAGGGCCTCTGTAGGAGCGCTTGAGGCTTCTGTGGGGAACGTGTGGATGTTTAGGATTACCAGTTTTGGCTGAGGGGTTAGGAAGTTGAGAGGTGTCTGTGTGGGGCTGGGAGGCTCTCGGGAATGGCGGGTGTCTGCGGGGCTTTTGGGGTGATTAAGGGATCTCTGTGCTGGGGGGTCTCTGTTGGCATGGCTGGGGCATCACTGTGCCACAGCGACAAGTGGCGGCGACAAGTGGCGTGTGTGGGGAGCGGGAGGCCCTCGGTCTCCGGTTTGAAGCGCTCCCCAGGTGGTCGGGTCTCCGGGGGCGGGGTGGGGGGGTGTGGGGTGCTCGGAGAAGACTCTCAGGTGCGGGAGCTGAAGCAAAGGCAGCTGCTCCTCTTACCGTCCCCCTTGCCCGACCCCTTGGTCTTTTTCTTCTTCTTTTTCTTCTTCACCTTCCGCTTGCTCAGCTCCGAGGCGCCGCCCGCGATGGGGGGCAGTCTGGGCCTGGGCGAGCCCGCCGCGCCGCCCTCCCGCTCCTCCTCCTCGTCCTCCTCGTCGTCGTCGCACTCTTCGCCGTACCCGTACCCCGACGCCCCGGCCCCACCGCGGCAGTCCATCCGCCCGGGGGGCCGCGACCCGCGCCTGGCGCAGCCCACAGCGTGGCTGGGGCAACGCGTCTCCATGGTGACCGCCCCACAGCGCGCGTGCCCGCCCAATCCGGAAGTTCCCGCCGGGTGCCGGGCGCGTAGGTGTGCGCATGCGTGTTCTAGCCTGTCTGAGACCTTGGTCCAGTCAGCTGTACAAAGGGCGGGGGTGGGCGGAGAGGTTTCAGGTCCTCGGGCTGATGCGCCTCTGGGGCATCTCGTCCACTCCTGTGCCTTTTTAAACTATGTGTATTCTCCCCTAAATTTTTTTTTTTGAGACTGAGTCTCACTCTGTTGCCCAGGCTAGAGTGCCGTGTTGTCAGTGTAGCTCACAGCAACCTCAAACTCCTGGGCTCAAACAATCCTTCTGCCTCAGCCTCCCAAGTATGCGCCACCATGCCCGGCTAATTTTTCCTATATATTTTTAGTTGGCCAATTCATTTCTTGACGGGGTCTCGCTCTTGCTCAGGCTGGTTTCGAACTCCTGACCTTGAGCAAACTGCTCACCTCGGCCTCCCAGAGTGCTAGGATTACAGGCGTGAGCCACTGCACCCAGCCGCTTTTTCTTTCTTTCAACACGGCCTCACTCTGCTGCCCAGGCTAGAGTGCAATGGCATGATCATAGCTCACTACAGCCTCAAACTCCTGGCCTCAAGCAATCCTCCCACCTTGGCCTCCCGAAGTGCTGGGATTACAAGCGTGAGCCATTCTACCTGGTGTTTGTTATCTATTCATCTTCTTAATGGTGTCTTTGGAGAAGCAGAAATTTTAAATTCTGATAAAGCCATTTTATCAAGTTTTTCTTTTTATATTCCGTCCAAGGATCTTTTGCCTACCTTTATATCACAAAGATAGTGTGCTATGTTGTTTTCTAGAAGCCTGATGGTTCTGAATATTAAGGTTAGGTCCATGATCCACATCAAATTAATTTTGTGAATAAAATTAGATAGGAGTAAATATTCATTTTTTTTCCTCAGTGGATTTTCAGTTGTTTCATGAACTTCCATTGAAAAGACATTGCTTTTCCCATTGACTTGACTTGGTATTTCTCTAGAAAAATCAATTAACTATATATGTGTGAATCTATTTCTGGGCTCTATTTTGTTCCATCGTTCTATTTGTCTACCCTTACAGCAATACCACCCATCTAGATTGTTGTAGCTTAATGGTAAGTCTTGATATTACATAGTGTAAGCCTTCCAACTGTGTTCTTTTTTTGAACATTTTTGTTTGTTTTTTGTTTTGGGACAAAGTCTCACTCTGTTGCTGGAGTTAGAGTGCAGTGGCGTCATCATAGCTCACAGCAACCTCAAACTCCTGGGCTTAAGCAATCCTTCTGCCTCAGCCTCCTAAGTAGCTGAGACTACAGGCACATGCCACCATGCCTGGCTAATTTTTCTATTTTTGGTATTTTTGGTACAGATGGGGTCTTGCTCTTGCTCAAGCCGGTCTCGAACTCCTGACCTCAACTAATCCTCCTGCCTCGGCCTCCCAGAGTGCTAGGATTACAGGCGTGAGCTTCGGTGCGTGGCCTTAAAGATTGTTTTGACTATTCTAGAGCCTTTGCTTTTCTATATAAAACTTCAAATCTTCTTGTCTATTTATTCAAAATAGCCTGTTGAGATTTTGATAGGGATTACATTGCATCTATAAATTTTGTCACTCTTAGTGCTCAGTAATGACAGTCATTAGTATGTGAGGACACATTGCTCTATAAAAGGCCCTTAGTTTGCATGTGAGTCCTTGTCCTCCCATCCACTGGCTGAGCTCCCTTCTGTGCCCAGCACAGCTCTGCACGCAGTGAGTGCTCAGTATGCGCTCTTGCCTGTTTGCTTTTGTCCTTAGGAGCTAAGTGAAATATAAAATGACAGAAGTGCTTTGTGCAAATAACCAGCTGCTATGAGACGTCTGGGGTTTGCTTTTCAGACGCCCTTCCACGCTCACCCTGGTACTCGCAGACAGGTGCTGGGGAAGGCTGGCTGCCTCCTGCCTGTCTTCCCTCGCAGCTGCTCCTCCCTTCTTGCCTGAGTGCTTAGCTGGCAGGAGACAGCTCGACCCTTTTCTGATTTTTGTGAAGGTTGCATCGAGGTTGTGTTGAGCCAGCCAGTGAGCTATGAAAGACAAAAGTCACCTCCAGCAAAGGGATACATTTTATGAATAATCATAAAAATCCCTTACAAGGGAGGCTTTTAAAAATGTTGACAGATATTTCCATTGTACATCACTCCATTTGGTCTCAATTCGCTGTCTCCTCACTCATCCCTCTTCAACCCAATCCAAGTGGAGTTCTAGCGCCATCGCTTTACCAACGCAACTCCATAATGTCCCCAGTGTTCTTCTATGTCATTGAATCCAATGGACAACCTCTGTCCTTGTTGTACTTGACCTCTCAGAAACGTTTGACACTGCCGACTACTCCTTCCTTCTTGAAATGTTGCATTTGCTTGGCTTTTGGGACACCAGTCTTGGTTCTCTGGCCACTCTGTCTCCTTTGCAGGTAAATTCTCCCACATACCAGAGGCAGGACACCGTTGGTTGCTGTGTTGGTTGTGTTGGTTTGAGTTTCCCCAAAAGCAAACTGTAGGGCAAGGAATCGAGTGCCAAGAGTTTATTTGGGAGATGATCCCAGGAAACTCAGACAGGGGAGTGGATAAGGGAGACAGGGAAGGCAGGACTGGGAATAAATTCCTCATTATCCTGCCAGTTACCTCTGTGGGCAACTGGAGCTCAGTCCTCCTGGAGAACTCCGGGAGGTGGTGCAAAACATGCTCAGAGTGACCCTAAGTGAGAGGTGACAAAGCTGGTTCTATCCACCACCTCTCGGAAGAAGTTGCTTCTGGGGGCGCTAACTCTGGCTTGTTCTGCGCAGGGCAGCATGCTTCCATAGCTGGGGAAAAGCCTTACGCAGAGTCACAGGTGTTTGGGAATAAAAGCCCTGGGCAGGTAGAGGAGAATGGCAAGGGATAGGGGAGCAGCAGACACTGTCTGCTGCAGTTGCCCACCCAACTTTTATTCCCTCTTCCCCTGCCTGCAGAGCTCTGATCACGTTCTAGTACCCGTGCTGCACCTATCCCCTGCCCCGTGACTTCAGGAGAGAGTCCTGATTGGTCTGGTCTGGGTCACTGTGGTAATGCCATTCCCTTTGCCAATAGTATGTTTAATAAGGAATCTACCCACCCCTACTGCTGGCCAATGAGACTTGAAGAACGTCTACTGGAGTCTTCTGGGAAAATTTTACTTATTGGAAAAACATCAGGCTGGGTAGGCATGCCCCTCTTCTGCTGCTGGACACAGTTGTGTGTGGCCGTGTTCCTGGCTCTGTGGCACACATCTGGCCACAGTGAGGGGAGCTCATCTGAGGACAAAGCCAACGTGCTGAGCGCAGCAGAATCTTTGGGAACCACAGTCGTTGAGATATACCCAAGCAGTCTACGGCCATACCACCCTGAACGTGCCCGATCTCGTCTGATCTCGGAAGCTAAGCAGGGTCGGGCCTGGTTAGTACTTGGACGGCAGATGTGCCCAAGCAAAGCTCTTGCACGTGGGCACCAGAAGCTGTCAAGAACATTCACATGAGCAATGTTCATAATACAAAAAAAAACTAGAAACAACTCAGTGATACAGTCACACATGGAATATTCTAGATCAGTGGGAGAATGAACTACACCACTCCCGCAGCATGGATGAATCTCGGAAGCAATATTACACGCAAAAAAATGAAGTTTGTTTAGGATATATATATATTTGTGATAAAAGTATATTTTAAAAATGCTATAAAAAACACAAACTTTTAAAACAGTGGTTACCTTGGTGGGGGGGAGAAGGGAGGAACACACAGGTCAATGAGATGGCTGGTTCTGTTCTACTGCCTGGTTTGCATGGTGGATTCTTGATTGTTTATTAAGGAAAAGAAAAAAGAAAGAAAAGAACCTGGACTTTGATGACATCCTGAGTAACTGAATTAAATCCTTGGAGCTTCTTTGATTTGAAAGTACTTTGTATGTGAGAGAATAAATAATTTTTCTTCTTGTGAAGCCATTTCTGTTACTCACAGCTGAAAGAACCTTGTCAGAGCCCCTTAAAACTAAAACCACCAGTTTCTCCCTTAAACTCGGTCCTCTCTCCTGTTCTCTGCCTTAGTGACGATCACCACCACTGTCCGGTTATTTGGGCCAGAAGCCTAGGTTGTCCTTGATGCCTCCTCTCACCATCCCCACCCAGTTCTTTGTCCATTTCTGTATGTTTTACCATCTAAACATTTCTCGTGGCTGGTCGCGGTGACTCACGCCTGTAATCCTAGCACTCTGGGAAGCTGAGGCGGGAGGATCTCTCAAGGTCAGGAGTTCGAAACCAGCTTGAGCAAGAGGGAGACCCCATCTCTACTAAAAATAGAAAGAAATTAATTGGCCAACTAAAAATATATAGAAAAAATTAGGCAGGCATGGTGGTGCATGCCTGTAGTCCCAGCTACCCGGGAGGCTGAGGCAGGAGGATTGCCTCAGCCTAGGAGTTTGAGGTTGCTGTGAGCTAGGCTGATGTCATGGCACTCTAGCCTGGGCAATAGAGTGAGACTCTGTCTCAAAAAAAAAAAAAAAAAAAATCTCTCATGATTTCTTTCCTCCGCAGCCCTGGCAGCCCCGCAGGGCCGCACTGCCATTATCTCTCACCTATGTGGCCACAGCAACCTAGTGGTTTTCCCCACCTCTCCTCTCGCTCCTGCTAAATCAGTCTCCGTGTGGCAGATGAGATGACCTTTTTGAAATGGCAATCCTCCCCCACAACCACCTCCCCTCACAGCTTCAACCACTTCAGTGGTTCCTGTTTCCGCTAGAAAAAAACAAAACTCCCAGAAAGGCCCACAAATCCTTCCTCACCTCCGGTTCCGGGCTCCCTCCTACTCCAGGGCCTGTTTCCATGAGTTACAGTCTCTTCTCCTGCTTAAGTCCTACTCATTCCTTGGATCTCAGGTTTCTCATGAAAACCTTCTCTAATTTGGAGATTCCTTTAGGCTGATAGATGCCCCAGCCATTTTCTAGAACCCTGATCAATGGTAT